GGCTGGTTTCAAACTCCTGGCTTCCTCCTCCCGCCTCAGCCTCCCAAAATGCTGGAATTACAGGCATGAGCCACTGCACCCAGCCCTTCTTGCACTAATATCAGTACCCTCTACAATTAACCCATAAGGAGGCCCACCCCAAAGGCAGTCTGAAGACAAACCTAGAAAATAAAACAAAACCTAGGCCAGGTGGCTCACACCTGTAGGTAAAATAAAATGAAACCTAGGCCAGGTGGCTCACACCTGTAATCCTAGAACTTTGGGAGGCTGAGGCCAGCAGACCACTTGAGGTCAGGAGTTTGAGATCAGCCTGGTCAACCTAGTGAAACCCCGTCTCTACCAAAGATACAAAAATTAGCCAGGTGTGGTGGCACACGCCATAATCTCAGCTACTTGGGAGGCTGAGGTAGGAGAATCACTTGAACCTGGGAGGTGGAGGCTGCAGTGAGCCAAGACCACACCACTGCACTCCAGTCTGGGCAACAGAGCGAGACCCTGTCTAAAAGGAAAAAACAAAAACAAAAACTGCTATCCATGGAATAATAATTCAAATAAAGTACATTCTTCAGACTTTAATGAATTAGCATAAATCCAATAGCCAAAAAATAAGGAAAAAGAAGAGCATACTGAATAGATAAGATGCTACTTTTATTGAAATACTGAGTGGGAGAAAAGTTTCCTTGTTCTCACTCAGTCACTACGGTGCTTTGATTTTCTGCCGAGCTTGGATCGGCAGAGTTACATTTATGTTTTGGTAGCTAAGGGGTGTGTGTGTGCATTTGTGTACACGTAAAATAATGTCAGAGAAATACATTAATCAGAGCAAGTAAAAATTAAGGCAGGAAAATAGAAAGAGATAGTTTTATATTCAGTGTAAGAGCTTGTGATGATACGTAAAGACCCATAAATGCTCAGTTGTGTGCCACATAACAGTACTGCACTCAACAATGGACTGCATATAGGATGGTGGTCCCGTAAGAGTATAATGGAGCTGGACAATTCCTGTCGCCTAGTGACAACCGCAACCATCCTAGGGCCATGGAGCCACACGTTCACTCACATGTCTGTGGGGACGCCGGCGTAAACAGACTGTGCTGCCAGTTGCATAAAAAAACTTCTAGCACATGCAATTATGTACAACACATAATACTTGACGATGATAATAAACAACTAAGTTACTGGTTTATGTATTTACAATACTACCCTTTTTCTCATTATTTTGGCGCGTAGTCCTACTTATAACGAGATGTTTCTGGTAAGACAGTGACGCCACATTACCCCAGTCACAGCCTCCTGCAGCTCACATTTCCCACATCTCTTGATTGCAATATTTTCTTTTGTGCTTAAGTGTTATTACAAGAGTTAAGAAGCTTTAAAAAATGTTAAAAGTTTATAAAATAGAGACCGAGGTAGTCATGACTCTTTTCCAATCTCATTCTTGAGTAGGAAAGAATTTGACACGCATGGTCCTCAAAAACAAAACAAACAAAACCACACTTCTACCTAGCGCTGCCCTTCTGGACTCAGTGTGCACTGGAGCCGCCTGAGGGTGTAAAGAGCCTGGCTCAGCAGGTTTGGGGAGCTGGAGACTCCGCCTTGCTCACCAGCGCCCACATGATGTTGATGCTGCCGGGCCACGGGCCGCACTTTGAGTCACGAGGGGTGAGACATGCATCTATATTCAACTTCAGGTATGTCCACAACAGGCATTTCCTACATCCAGACCTAAATGTACCTACTGGACACCTGGAAGATGATCATTGCCGTCAAAACCCAATTACTCACTTTATACACTTTATGCCCTTGGATCATGAAATTCCTTAAGTCAAAATGTAGCTTTCAAAGGTGTTTGGCAAGATGGCTGGATGCGGTGGCTCACACCTGTAATCCCAGCACTTTGGGAGGCCAAGGCGGGCAGATCACTTGAGGTCAGGAGTTCAAGACCAGCCTGGTCAACATGGTGAAACCCCATCTCTACTAAAACTACAAAAATTAGCCAGGCGTGGTGGCCAGTGCCTGTAATCCCAGCTACTTGGGAGGCTGAGGTACGAGAATCGCCTGAACCCGGGAGGCGGAGGTTGCAGTGAGCCAAGATCGTGCCACTGCACTGCACTCCAGACTGGGTGACAGAACAAGACTCTGTCTAAAAAAAAAAGAAAAGAAAAAAAAAAGCAGGTGTTCAGCCATAGATCTGTTGCATCAGGAGGGAGGAGGAAGGGAAGAAAAGGTACACGTGCTAAGCACTTTGGGGAGATGTCTGTCCAGTCCACGTTATCCCTGCGTCTGATGTCAGCCCCACCCATCCACAGGTAGGGTAGCAACAAAGTGACCCCACTCTCCTGTGCCGAGTTACAGGACCAGGGGTGGGCCTGACCCAGGCTGGCCTGTCACACGCCTTCTCTCCCAGGAATCTGGAAAGGGGTCTCAGAAATCGCAGAGTTTGGTGGCAGGTTCCAGACTGCAGGGACACATGAACAGGTCTGAGGCTGCCGCTCTGGAATGGCGAGCTTTCATATGCATGGCAAAGTTAAGAAAGGTAATTATTTGGAGAGGAAGAGAAATGAAGCCAAAAGGCAAAGACAAACAGAAATTAGGCAGCCGTGGCAAGAGAAGGAAGAGGAGGAAAAGGAGACAGATAGCAGCAGCCTCAGCTCCCAGCTCCTGGTTCCTAATTCCTGATGCACACCTCCTCTCAGATTTCATGCCCTGCCTTTTATACCCTGCTCCTTCGAAAAAAAAAAAGTACCTTTCCAGTGCAGAAACCTGGCAGACAGCACCTTAACCAAGAGATCAGGTTGGTATGAGGACCATCCACAAGATGAAATACTCAGGACACAGCGTCACTCCATGGGGGTCTTGCCAAGAATGCAGAACCTCCATCTAATCCTGAGAAAACATCAGTGAAACCCAAA